TGCTGTTCAGCCCGGGGCTTCCACATCACTCCATCTTTTGTTCATACCAGGAGATTCTAAAATGCTCAAGACATCGAACCCTCATCCCAACACCTTCATGTCTCCCATTTGAACAGAAGTCTTCTTGTGCAGTTCCCTGCTTTGCAAATCCCTTTTCCTTGGAGGGCTTCAACTCTGCTTCTTAAGGGCAGAAGCTTCCTGAAGGCGGGGGCTGTACATCGTCAGAGGTGCTCCTCCACGCCCTGCACGCCACGGCGCTCAGTAGGTGTGTGTTGCCAGCATGGCAAGGTGCCCCTCTGGAGTGCCACAGGGCCTCTGTCTCTCAAGGACATAGTCTAGTGAGGGAGACAGGTATTCAGGCGATTGCAACACCGGGTGGAGGACCGCAAGCTGGTGCCAGAGGGACCCGAGGGCAGTTTCCTGTGGTCTCTCAGGACAGTGCACTGCATGAAGGACCCATCCACCTGATTCTCCCAAGACCCAAGTATGACACCAAAACACAATGAACAGAAAGCCCTCCCTCCCCCTCTGAAGGGGCTCAAGAATCCAGATGAGCTCTCCCACCCTGGATGCCGTGTAACAATCAATCCACAGTTTTTGTTTCCAGGGCAGGATCTGTCCCTAAATTGTTTTTTTTGAGTCACAGTAATTTAGAGGCGGGACTGAATTTTGTCCCAGTTTGCTTTTCTAACCTCTGCTTTCTCTTGGATGGTAAAGTGCCGTGTGATTTGTTATGACTGGCGGCGAAGCGTCCACGGAAGGGAAGGCCCCCTGCCTGCCATTCGAAGCCTGGGCTCTGTGATAGAAATACCCCAATGCTCAAGGTCATCCAGTCCATCTCTCTCCCCATCCGGCACGCACACTCTTCCAGAAACTGAAAGCTGAGGTCCAGCTACAGGAAGGAGCAGACACCTGGATGTCAGTCTGAGTGAGGGCGTCCCAGAGATTTCGTGCTCCCAAAGCCTTCTCTGGATCTCCGCATGAGCAGCTTTGCTCCACACGTCCTCCCCGTGGAGGCACCACTGTGCACAGCCCGTGATTGCTGCTCGGATGTGGGGAACCAGAGGTCACCAGTGGACCTCAGAGCTGCCCAAGGCGGGTAATGACCCTGGGTGGGAAGCAGCCCACAAAGTTCACATTTAGGACCCTTTAAAAATAGATGCTGTCTTACTATTCTCAACCAGTATTTAAACATCTGGGCAGGTCTTGCCTTGAGACACTCCAGCTGGACCGCTTGGTGTGGAGTGAGGTGCGGGCTCGTAGCGGAGTCTCAGACTCTGGAGCTTGGCTTCCTCGGCAGGCTAAGAGGCTCTTATAACCGCTTTCAGATTGATTTACTCAGCAAATCCTTTCCCCTTTAAATGCAGGAAGTTAAGTCAAATTCACTGATCAAAAATGTCCAATTAGTGGATAAAGGCTGAGCTGCCACTTTGTCACAAATTAAAACCAGATCTTGAAGGAATCTTGCTGGGCTCCAAAGAAAAACATCTCTTGCTGAAAACAGTCTGCCCTTCATGTTTTAGGATGGCGTAGATCACATTCTATAGAGTTACGAGGAAAAAATACGAGTAGGAGGGCAAACATCAAAGTTTAACTATTCCGGTTGATTTGAGCAAGGAAGCGTAGCCCCTGTGTCACTGAGAGTCCCCGGCGGGGCTCCCACCCTCACCCACAACAGGCACCGAAGTCAGGACTTGCATCCCGTTTCTGGCGCCTGGTGGGAACAGTGGGGGCGTTGACTGGTAAAAGCCAACGTTGGCTTAAATCCCGGAACACAGCTCCTCGTAACCGCCTGGGCCACTACTGACCTTCTTACTCAAAAGTAGATGGTTTTCAAGGTTACCGAATGTCCCGGCCAGGAAGAGCGCTCCTGAGTGCAGAACATCACTGCTTTGCACCCTACTCTCCCCCACACTGCTAGCTGCCCCAGATCTCAGGGGGGCCTTGCTGACGTGCCACGCTCACCCGCACTGAGTGCTCAGGGGAGTGGAGGGCACCACGCTGACCCTCGCCATATGCTGTGCTTTCTAAAGCTCATGAGAGCAGAAGTTATACTCTTGGGTTATTCTTTTTTTTCATGAAAAATCCAAAATTTGGGCAGTTAAAGCATTAAGAACAAAAGACACAAAATTCTACTAAACAACCATGGATATTCATTACTCATCTTTTCCCTGTATATTTATAGGAAATATAATGTATATTTATGGGGAATCAAACATTGAAGAAAGTGGTTATTTTACAAAAAACACTGCAGATTAATATGACAATTGGACATAACAAACTAAATGTCAGCAAACATTCTGGAAAGATCCATGATGGTATAAAGGGTATTTGAACATGATAGTTTCTTCTGCATTTAAAAAAAAAAAAATCCCCTCATGATTTCAACAAATTTCTATGTTCACAGCTGTGTCTGAATCTTATGAAAAAAATCCAGTTGAGTCTTTGGGATTTTTTTTACATGGACTTAATTTTTTTCTTCTAAAATGACTCTCCTTGTTACAGAGAAAAGACACAGCTGTTTTCAGTCATGGTTTCCTCAAATTTCCTTCAGAAACTGTCCTAACTGCCGGTAGAAAGATGGTTTCCATGTGAGAGCAGGGGAATCAGGAACATCTCCCGACCGGCTGTAAGACCCCATCTTCAAACCACCCACTACAATCATTTCACACTGAGAACCATGCAACATGCATTGTCAAGAAATTTAACATAACAAGAGCTCAGTGTCACCTCGGAGAACAGCGGATACAGCCCTGCAGCTCTTCTCTGACACGCTTTGTGCTTGCGGTCTGTCCCACTTTTCCATCAACTAGAGATGTAAGAAGTGACCTTGTAGGGAAGAAGTCATGGATGGATCTGGGAACACAGGCTCGAACCTGAAAGTACGTTCTGTCGCAAATACCCCCCGAACTACAAGTATTTCACAGTGAAAGGGTTCTTTTCCCACATGTAACTAGACCTCTTATCTGCTTTGCAATTCTCTACAAGAGGACTGAGGATGGAATTTCTTTGTGAGACAAAACTAGAAATAGGGACCCTTCGTTGCCCAGTAATGAATTTAAAAAAAAAAAAAAAGATTTCTAGTTCCAGCTACCAAATTCTTTAAGAAATTCCTGCATGAAAAATATAGTCAGTTCAAAGCCCAAAGCCGGCAGATGTAATCCACGTGGGTTTACGGCCACACTCAAGGTTTGGGGTATTGAGGGCAGAGCGGTGGAAAGATGGGTCCTCTGTTCCCAGAATGGGTACAGGTGCAGCAGGCCTACCGCCAAGCCGGCTGAGGTCCCGGGTGGATAGAGGACCCCTCCCTCCTCAGCTCGCTCTCTCTTGATTTTAGTTTCTCGGCCCCCGACAGTCTTTCAGGGGAGACTGTTGGAAGTGTGTCTCGGATCATCCTTAAACTCAGTCTGCGTCCGTGCCAGCATAAAGCTGCTTTGGGTCGCCAGACTTTCACTAGCCAACCTAACGGTTACAGGTCTCAGGAAAAACGAGTCCTATTTTCAAGTGTTCTCTCTCCTGCGCTATTCCTCTAACAGCCTGAGTGCACCGGGGATGGACACGGGGTCCTCAGCCTCAGGGTGGAGGACTAACCCGCTCCCACACGTGGCTCAGCAGCAGTCTGCGCCAGGCCTAGCGGGTGGGCCTCCTCCATGCTGCGTGAGGCTTGGCAGTGATGTCGTGCCACGCCTTACTTCCGTCCCCAAGAGAACAGACAGGAGCACCTTCCCGTCCCCGCTTCAGGGCCTCCACGCAGGCAGGTGTTGTCCGGAGGCGCTCAGTCAGCATCTGAACGGATTACAACCCAGCGGAAGAAGAGCAGTGGAGAGAGCGGGATGTTCGTGGGAGATTAGAGGCATGTGTTTTTGCTTCAGAGAACAGAAGGGCCAATGGGTAGAAAAGCTATAGGACAGCAGACGGCGGTCAGCAAGGGAGTCAGGGAGTGAGTCCCCGAACAACGAAGCCGGAAAGCTACTTAACAGAAACGTGGGTTGGAGTCAGGGAACCATAAGGTCCCTTCTAACTCCTGACTTCAGGCCCTAGAAAAATATTTGGTTCCAATTTGGAAACCTGTTCTCAGAAAATAAGCAGTACCGCTTTTGGAAAGAACACTGTATTTAAAAACATTTCCACCCGCTCTCTTGGGAGGACCAAACTAGAGGCAGAATGGGAGGGACACGAGTGCAGCAGTTGGGGTATTAGCGGCACCAGGAGCGCCGCCCCCCCCATCTAGGGCCCCAGTCTGATGGCAGAGGGAACGGAGCTCCATGGGACACCCTCAACCAGAAAGCTTCCAGGGCCCACTGGCCGTCTCCCCAACGTCTGTCCATGCACGCCCAACCCCAGCAAGTGCGGTGCTGTTCTCTCCGGCACTAACATACGTGTGGCCTGACACAGGACGGCGCCCTCGTCTTCTGGGTGATCAGATGTGAGACCTGAATGTCCGTGGGTTTTGGCTAGTGCGGAAAAGACCCCGATTTGGATCTAAATGAGTCACTGGCTTCATGTAAGTTCTACTCCCGCAGAGGGGCAGAAAGCACCATTAATATGTGTGGAAATTAATATAAATTTTAATGTTGTGTAGTTCCTGGATCCCAACTCAAGTGTCTCTATCACAGTCAGTGTTTACGTTGGGCGATCAGAAGTCCTGCTCACTGCACCCAAGTCAGGGTATCAGGTGAGCAGCACGGCCAGAGAGACCCGACGCTTCCGGAAGCTTCCGACTCTGCACCTGGGGCTCACTGTTACCGCACAGCAGACGCCCACCAGTGCTGGTCAAGCCGGGTATCAAAGTAAATATAACACCTGTTTGAACTTTGTACTTTTTGAAAATATAAAATCCAATCATCAGCCAACACTCATGAGACATGTGAGTTTGTTGACTGTTCATACAAAATATGAAAATACCCCATGATTTTTAACAAAGTAAAGCCTGTTCCTGCGTTTTGGGGCTCCCTTTCCAATTTTACTTCCATTTCAAAGGAACAATTGAGAGGCACTGCTTCTGAATTTAACACTATATTTATTAAAGTGTTTTTATTAACAAACTTTCACCAGAAAGTTCCGAGTGTGTCAGCGCAGGGGGCCCATTGGCTTCAAGCTCTGGCATCTGACGGCCCGCAGAACCGCACGTCAGCCGGACCCCTCGGCCACAGCTCTGGGGGTCATTAGGGCAGCACCGGGTGTCCCCCGTGCCACGGTTAAATATGGGTTTCGGTTCTTTCTGATTTGAATGTTCCGAGTCCTGTGACAGGCATGGCTCTGCTTTCCTATCTGCCTCGTCCGCCTGAGCCCCCAGCCCCGAGCCCTTCTTCAAGGCCCCTCCACTGCCCTCCATGTTCCCGAGCTCTCTGTTTCTGGAGAGTCCCCTTTGGCTGTTTTCGGGATCACAGCAGTTCGGTTTTCGCAAGGACCCGGGGCTTCTGCGGACAAAGGACGGCGGCTCCGGCGTCTGTGGACTGGGCTCTCCCGTGCCCTGGGTGCCGTGGGCGCTGGCCTTGCCGCCTTTCTCCTGGGCCTGCCCGTGCTGCACCGGGTGGAGGAAGAGGCCTGTGGGCAGAGGACTCTGTGCTCCCGGCCGTCTGGCTCTGCCCTGCAGGCAGGCGCAGTGGCAGATGTGTGGGACGGCGCACATGAAGCCTTCGGGGGCCTGCTGTGCGGCCTGCAGGGGCGCCACGCCCTTCTGCACGTGCACTAAGCTGCTGCTGGTGGCGGCGGCGGCGCATCGGGGGCACAGGCCGTCACCTGCCTGCTGGCACACGTGCGGGCTGGGGCTCAGGTGTCTGTAGGCGTTTGGGCAACCACACCTCTGACTGAGAGAGAAGAAGTGACACAGGGTGTGCTGCTCGAGAGCGGGCGGGAAGGAGGCGGAGCTGGCTTCGTGTCTGGAGCTTGGACTGTAAGTGGCGTGCACGGGCAGCCCCAGACTCTTGGCCTGGCCGCCGAAAAACTCAGAGCACATGTGGGTCTCCTCATAAGCCGCCTTCCCAGATGCGGTGCAGCTGTGGGACGTCAGAGGCTCTAATTCATAAAACTCGTGCTCCACGTCGGGTTTCTGGGCCCTGGGGTCTAAATGATACGCATTCACGGCATGTGTTTTGCTCTGCCCCTTGTCGACAGGGGTCACAGACAGGGCGTGGGAGAAGGCACTGCACCGGAGCTTCCTGGGGAGTGGAATCTGCCCACAGGTGCCCTGCGGCCCGAGGCAGCGGCACATGCACTGGAAAAAGAAGGTGGCAAAGGCCCAGCTGACGCACATGATGAGCATCATGAAGGTGCCCAGCTGGGTGTATGCCAGAACCGTGGATGGCATCATCATGGCCCCGGCCACAAAGGTGGTCAGGGCGGCCATGGCAATGGCGGAGCCCATGCGGCTCAGGGAGAAGATCACCTTCCCCTCCCGGTCGGCATCCGGGGCCAGGCGGTAAGCAACCCCGTAGTGGACGGCAAAGTCCACGGACAGGCCAACGGCCACGGAAATGATGACAGACTCCAGGACGTTCAGCTCCCAGCCCAGCAGGACGAGGGCGCCGACGGTGACAAATATGGTCCCGGCGATAGACATGATGGCGTACAGGCTTACGATGACGTTCCAGGTGGTAAGCAGCATAACACTGAAGGCCACGGCCACGGACAGCCCCATGGCAACGAGCGTGCCGTTGGACAGGCTATCCTGGAGGTCGTAGAACTCCAGATTGCTGACGAACCAGCCGTTGCTGAGGCCCTCGGGGGCAGAGCTCAGCTCCCGGGAGATCCAGGCGTCCACCTCCTCATAGAACTGGTGCATCTTCTCATAGGCCAGCGTGAAGAGGTAGGTGCTCTGGAACTCCAGCACCACCGCCCGGATGGTGTCGTTAACATCGAACCGCGGCCCCGGGGTCTTGCTGTCCAGATGGTAGCCCGTACCCCTCTCCAGCTCCATGATGGCCCTCTTGATGCACAGCTCGAAGACCTCCTGCTTGTAGGGGAAGCTCCAGCGCCGGCAGCACAGGTACAGGGCGGGCTCGTCGCAGTCCTGGTTCTCCATCCACTGCTTGAACGTCTCGATGAAGCAGCTGGTGAAGTCCTGTTCCCCCGTCTGGTAGAAGAAAGTCTGGTTTCTCAGTTTCTGACAGAAGTGCAAGATCCAGACCTGGGAAGCCGGGCTTGCGATGTTAAAGCTGCCGTCCAACGCCAGCTTCCCTTTACTCTTGGGGTTCAGGGGATCGCCGTTGTCTTCTGGGGACACGCCCCAGACCACAGTGATGGGCATGTGCAGCTCCTCGCCACGGTGGACGCGCTCAAACATGAAGAGCTTCTTGTACTCAGCGTCGTAGCGCTCAAAGGGGTGGGAAGGCCTGAACAGCTGAAACTCAGACAGCTCCAGGGAGGGCAGCTTCATCTTGGGGTTCACGCATACGACATAGGCCCCGCCCACAGTCAGAGCCAGGAACCACAGCAGCCAAAGGTAGCGGAACTTAATAACGATGCACGGCAACACCTTCTCAAAAAAAATGCGCGATGCTTCTGAAATGGCAAACAGTGCTCTGTGGCACGTCCGGCGGGCCACAGTCCAGCAGCTCTTGCCCTCGTAGACCTGCTGCGGTGGCTTCTTGAAGCAGCTGAACATGTTGAGGAGGTAGCGCTCGTGCAGGACGACAACGGCCGGGAGCCACGTAACCATCAGCACATAGTTCACCAGGATGGCGGTCCCCGCGTACACGCCGAAGCAGCGGATGGCGGTGATGTTGCTCACGTAGTTGGCATAGAAGGCGGCGGCCGTGGTGAAGCTGGTGACAAACATGGACAGCGCCGCGTGCTGCAGAGTGACACCCACCGTCTCCGTGGTCGCCGCGTGCGGCCGGTCGAACTTGGTGTAGCTCCACACATCACACAGGACAAACGCGTCATCAGCGCCAATTCCAACCAGAATAACAAGTGCGGTGAGGTTCATGAAAGGGAAGAACTCAAAGTTGAACACCACGCGGTAGAGAAAATAGGAAACGATGAGGGAGCTGATGACAGCGAACATGGTCATCAGCGTGATGAACAGGGACCTGGTGTAGGCGCACATGACCAGGAGGACCAGCAGGACCGCGATGGCCGGGTATGCGGTGTCCGTGAGGAGGTAGTCCTGGAACAGGCTGTGTTTGATGCCGAATTCGATGCCGGCGACGGTGGTGACGCCATCTGAGCCGTTCCAGGGCTCGAAGTTGTCCAGGTAAATGTCCATCATGCTCTCCCCCTTCTCCGTGGGAGAGAACAGCATGCTGTACTTGAGTGCCGGTGCGGCGGGGTCAGCTGCCTTCAGGGGCAGGAAGTCCTTGTCCACCAAGTAGTGCAGGATCTGATACACGGCATTGTACCTGGTGCACTTGCGTGGCACGCCCGTGCACTTGAGCTGCCCCTTCCTCCTGGCGCCTGCGTCCCAGCAGTCGGGCTCCAGGGTGCCGTTGTGGTAGTGCTTGGCGCATGCGCGCAGCAGCTTCAGGGTGTGAGACACGTCTCGCTCCACGATCTTCTGGCAGGACGACCTGTTGTTGAGGACGGCGATGTAATTCCCCAGCGTCCAGCTGGGGCAGCAGGACGTGGCCGTGGCCCTCTGGCACAGGTCGCCAAACTGCGGGTGGGATCTAATCTGCGGAGAGAGACACGTGGAGACGGGCGTTTAGAACCGCTTCACCCAGAGGCCTGAATTAAGGCGGCCTGGAGGGACAGGTTAAATAGCCATCCTCCTAGTTAGGTGTCAGCTGGGACACGGGTGGCCACCCCCCAGAGCCTGCCCCGCGAAACACCCGCCGGGCGCTTCCCTCTGGACAGAAAACTGCTCAGCGTGCGGGGGACACATGGGCATGTAACCACCAGTGCTGGTTCGGTTTTAAGGACACAGAATTAGCAGCTCTTTAGGAGACAGGCCTTTTCCAAGTTACTTTAAAAGGCAATGAAAAGGACAGGCTGTGGGTTCATGTACGGAATCTATAGGATTAATTTAAGAGAACAGTTGTCCAATTGATAGAGGAAACAAACTGGTGGCTTTGCCTAAAACTTCTGGTTATCGGCATGAAATTTTTGGTGACAAAGGTACTACATATCTCAACCAACCTAGCTGGAAGCAAAGATAATATTCTGCCAGAAAACTGTCAGCGAGCCCCAAGGTGACATGGGGAGCACTGATGTCAGGGGTGCACGAGAGACCGGGGGTGAAACGGTTTCCTGAGAAGCAAGCACAGTCTGCATATCTGATTAACAAATACTTCAGTAGGAGCTGATGTCTTCCACACTTCTGTCAAAGCTTCCTGGAGCTGGCTGAAACTCTCTGGGTTTTGGTGACGTGGGGTCTGCTGTGTGGTGGCCGTAGGACAGCTCTGGGTCTGCTGTGGACAGTGCCTTACTTACAGCTGTTCCCGGAGGCCTTTCTTCTCTGGCTGCTCTTGTTACAGCAAACTGAAAAAATCCTCCACTGCCAAGGGTGGGGTTGCTAGAATACGGCGGAGCCTTCACAATTCCATACAAATCTGTCAACTGTGTGAGTGGCCCCTCTTTCCTGAGGCTGAGCTTAGGAACCATGCCCTTCTCTCGAGCCTGTCCAGAGCTTGTCTGTAGAAGGCGACCCACTCACTTCTACTTACCAAAGGCTGCTCCAGGAGGAGACTCCAAAGTCCAGAAAGGACAATTAAACTACTCTCTGCCTTTATTAATAGTTGACTCTACCAATCACAGGGACCGTTGGCACAAATCGTCTGTTTGGAACTTAGAATGATCCCAGAACCCCGCTCCCCATACCACTTGAAGGCCTAGCCATCAAGCTGCTTTGGTGGGACCAGTCCTGGGGCGGGGTGCAGAGGACACAACACTGCCCATGTACCCCAAGTGTCAGAGCTGGGCAACCCACATGTGGGGGTTCAGTACACTAGCCTACTTCTGCATACATTTAAAAATTTCCATAATAGGGGCATCTGGGTGGCTCAGTCGGTTAAGCGGCTGCCTTCGGCTCAGGTCATGATCCCAGGGTCCTGGGATCGAGCCCCACGTCTGGCTCCCTGCTCAGGGGAGAGCCTGCTTCTCCCTCTCTCTCTGCCTGCCACTCTGCCTACTTGTGCTCTCTGTCAAATAAATAAAATCTTAAA